ACTACATTACCCATGAAGCTTTGGTGGCACAGCAGCGAGCCCTTTGCTCTTTGTTAGCAAGTGCTGAATGGTTTTCTGCCAACTAGTTATAGTTTAGAGCAGGGCTATTCAATTCCAGGCCTCGAGGGCCAGTATCCAGCACGTTTTAGTATCAGGCAGCTCATCAGGCTCTGCAGAAGCCTGTTAATCACCTGCTGATTGAAATCAGGTGTGTTGAAACAGTTAAAACTAAAACATGCTGGATACAAACCTCCAGTATCAGAATTTAATAGTCCTGGTTTTGAGTCTAATTATAATGGTGATGGTGATGTTGGAGGTAATGGTGTTAATGATGGTGATGATGATTATGATGGTTGTATTGAGGATAGTGATGATGATGATTGGGTGGTGGTGGTGGTGAGGATGGTGGTGGTGATGATGATGATGGTGAGGATGGTGATGATGATGATGGTGGTGGTGAGGATGGTGATGATGATGGTGGTGAGGATGGTGATGATGATGATGGTGGTTGTATTGAGGATAGTGATAATGATGATTGGGTGGTGGTGGTGAGGATGGTGATGATGGTGGTGAGGATGGTGATGATGATGGTGGTGATGATGATGGTGGTGGTGAGGATGGTGATGATGATGGTGGTGATGATGATGATGGTGAGGATGATGATGGTGGTGGTGAGGATGGTGATGATGAAGGAGCAGCTGGTGTGGCATTCAGGCTAAATGGTTTCTGTGTTAATAAATCCAGGTTTTTGGAAATTTCATCCAGACTTGTTATCATATACAGGGTTTCCCCCAGCGCTTTATAAGGCGGGTAGCCAAGTAAAGCCAGGCTACCCGCCAGGCTAAGCGTCATGCCCTGCCCCCCTTCCCGACCCTGCCGTGTCCGCTGACACGAATGGCGCAACGGAACTAGAGCTCTTCATCAGCTGATACTGGTGAGAAAACAGCAGTGGAACATGTGCAACCACTACACCCCCGCTCTCACAGAGGGACGCGGCGGGACGGACCACGTGATCTCCCCCCCCCCGATGGCTGAAGCCTCCAGGCTTTACTCATTTCCTGGGGGAAACCCTGATATACCGTAAATCCTCTAATGCAGGCCGGTATTCAATTAAAGGCCGGGTCTCCAATTTTGGCCGGTGTCGGAGTCAGCGGAGGTAAATAATGGCCGGTCTCTTATTGTGGCCGGGCGGAATGTAGTAACAAGCAAATATGAGCGTCTCAGCGGCAGGGTTTTAGCCCCCAAATCAACCAGCAGGAGGCAGTAGGGGTTCACACAGACCTTTATTAGGCTTTTTCTTCAATGTTTAGTAACGCTACAGACACGATCCTCTATCACGCTCCTACCACACAGAGTCACGGTGTCAGTTAACCATGCTAATTCAACCCGCTCCACAGAACACACATCACCTTCCCTGTGGCTTACATAACACTCACACAACACGCAAATCAGCACATAGGAACTAGCAGAACGATAGGAAACACATATAACACAATACCCAGAATGCACCTGGCTTACAACCCCAGCCAGGTCATTACACTATCAAGTTCAAAGAGAACGTGCTGATTATGCTGCAGAACACTCTGGAGAGCAGTAGCAGGGGGTGTATGAACTAGTCGACTTCACTATAGTGACTTTTTATGCCTGTCGTCGACTAGTCGCTGTCACGTGATAATGACCGGCAAGATGCAGCCCTCGGAAAAGACAGCAGCCTGCTGTCAGCAGGTGACAAGCTCCTGCGCTCGGGGGGGGCAACGCGCTGTGCCAGACCGTAGGTACTGACACGCGATCGTTCATGTCGGTTCATTTCCTTTAATGTTTTCTGTCTTTTATTTGCGCCTGATGCGTTTCGCTGCTGTGGAGCGGGGCGCATCAACTTGTCCTCCGACGCACAGATCACTGATGCGGCCGCCAAGCAGGGAGAGCTCCGCTGTTTTCGCGGTCGGTAGATCTGCCTCCTGAGCACGGCCACAATCAGGTGTCGCCACCTCAAAAACTAATTTAACACACGATCGTTCATGTCAGTTCATTTCCTTTAATGTTTTCTGTCTTTTATTTGCGCCTGATGCGTTTTGCTGCATGCTGTGGAGCGGGGCGCTGCGCGCATCACCTTGTCCTCCGACGCAAATTCCACTACCTCCGCTCCGCTCCGCTCCGACACGAACGCCGGAGCAAAATCGGTCCCGTTGTAGTCAATCAGAGCAATTCTACTACTGCGGCCGTGCTCCGGCAGTGCGGCGCCGTGCGCCGCCCTCTGTTCCGGCGTCCGGCAAAAATAGAATCGATCCTATTTTCGCCGGAGCACCTCCGCAGTCAATGGACAGAAATCACAACTGCCCAACAGGAAAAGGAGCAAGCACAACTTCCTTTTTTCACAATAAATCGCTAAACAAAAAGCGTTTTTTGTTTCATATGCACAGGTTTAACAACTTTTAACAACTATCAATGGCGGCTGAACTTTAAATGCACAAAAATAAGCCATAAATACAGTTTCTACTGTCAAAGTAGTCACACTTTGTTGATCCAAACACTGCTGATCTCTACACAAATGATGGGCAGATTAAACAGTTCATTTCGATGCTTCTCCCACACAACGCGTGTTTGGATCTAACTTCCGCGTTTATTGCTCGGACTGTATGATACGGCCGCCAAGCAGGGAGCGCTCCGCTGTTTTTGCGGTCGGTAGATCTTTTAGAACTGCAGTTCAAAGGTAACTCATGAGGTGAATATATATGAACCCAGGTAGCAATTTCTCTTTAGGATTGAGAGGAGATGCAGGAAGATAATAAACAGGCAGGACAGAAAAATAGTCAAATAAAAACAAGTTAGTTTTTGTACCTGCTGGTTGCAACAAACAGACACCATTGAAGGTAATCAGAAGTGAGGACCAGAAAATGAAATAATTATTTTAATGTTTAGAGCAGCAGGAACTCCAAGAGGCTGCAGGCGCATCAGTGAGTTTGCAGCCGCTGCGCAGGGGGAGGGGGGAGAGGGCTGAAGCAGGGGGAGGAGGGAGAGGGCTGAAGCAGGGGGAGGGGGGAGAGGGCTGAAGCAGGAACTACCGTTGTTAAAAGAAATGTGTTTAACTTTGAAAATGTGGGCGCAATTTTAATTGTCAAACACTCCAGCGAACCATTAGTTCATTTTGCTCAAATAGAAATAGAGGCCTGCCTCTAATACTGGCCCTCCTTCCAATAAAGGCCTGGAGCTTGATGAGCTTGAGTCAAATACAGGCCCGGGCCTGTATTAGAGGATTTACGGTATTATTTTATATATTAAGCTTAAAAGCAACGATATCTAACCCTACACTGGGCTGAGTTTACCAGGAGTTTGTCTTTCACCAGGACACCAAAGACGACGGTTCTACCCACATCTGTCCCCTGTGTGATAAGAGCTGTCAGACCCAGCATCAGCTGACCATGCACATTCGACAGGTGAGTCGAGAGCTTGGGGCGCCGCCAGCACCTTCTGAACGTTGCTTCTGAACCGAAAAGTGTGAAAGTGACTTTGCTCCTGTAGCACAATGCAGACACCGGTGCCACGGACCACTCCTGCAGCATCTGTGGGAAGTGCCTAAGCTCCGCCTCCTCGCTCGACCGACACATGCTGGTCCACAGCGGAGAGAGGCCATACAAGTGCAACATCTGTGGACAAACGTTCACCACTAATGGCAACATGCACAGGTGCATAAACCACACACACATGACTACACCCAGTTTTTTATCACCGACACCCAGCCTCTAGTGATGACGGTACCCTGCCTTCTCTGTGTGTGTGTGTGTGTGTGTGTGTGTGTGACCAAGTCACATGACCCTAGCATTTCTCCATCAGGTTGAATGAAGCAATGTATTCTACAGTGAATTAATCACAAAACAGGCTAATGTCTCCATCATGTTGGCTAACATTGAGCTAACAGTCCTGAACTGGATATTACAGTGACGTGTTTTACTTCCTTTAACGAGTCCTTCAGATTTATAACAGCAAGACAGCATGCTACCGTAGTAAGTAAGTGCGCCCTGCCGTAACGCACCCAAGAGTGCAAACCTCAGATATGAAAATATATTTATCTACTTACCAACTTACTGTGTATGACTCATCTTTGCTCATCATCTAGAATGTTCTGGTTCTGATCCGTAACTGGCAACAGCTCACGGACCAGGAGTGAGAGTAACTCGTGTTTGGAACGTGCGCTGCAGGACCCAGGATGTCATTCTTACATAATGCACCTTTAAAGATGTCTGTTGATTTAGTTTCAGAGGAACCAAATAAAAGAAAAATTCAAGTTTTTATTGTCAGAGACGAGTGTTTGCCCTGATTTCTGAGCTCCTTTTGTCTCTGATGGTATGTAGATCCGTGGGCAGGAAGGAATGACTGTAGGTTTACACACACACACACACAGAAGCACTGAGATCCTCCGCTGACGTGTTTCTTCTCCATCCTGGTGTAAACAGAGAGGTTCATGGGTAGAGTAGTCTCATCAGCTGTTTCTGCTGAAACCCAGCTGAGTTCGCTTCATGGACTTGGGGCTGGAGCAGAGAGCCGGCATTCCAGTTTGTCCGGTCCTCTTAAAGCTGGATTTACAATGCAAAGCTCAGAGGGAAGAGGAGATGTTCAGATGCTCCTCTGTCCTGCTCTCGTTTTAGCGTGAGGGAATCCCGAACGGGCATTTACCTCCTGCTGCTGATTTCATGTCAGTCATGTTCCTGCTTCCTCCTCATCTCTCCATCATACCCTCCCCCTCTTTCCCTTCATTCATCTTTGTTTCACTTTCTGTTTTCTCTATCTGTGTGTGTGTGTGTGTGTGTGTGTGTGTGTGTGCGTGTGTGTGTGTGCGTGCGCGTGCGTGTGCGTGTGCGTGTGTGTGTGTGTGTGTGTGTGTGTTTTCCAGCAGCTGTTGGTGACTCTCTCACATCATCAGAATTGTTTCTGCTGACTCTGCATGTTTCCTGCTCTCTGATTGGTCCCTTTGAAGCAGACTTTGCTCTCCCTTTAACCACCGCCTCCTCTGCATTCTGATTGGTTAATTAACAGCTTCCTGTCAGCTGCTCTCAGATCTGCTGACTGAGTGTCAGGACCTCTTATGGGCGTCCAGAGGGCTGCCTGTCACTTCTATAAATAGATGCTGGACCTGGAGGGGTAGAGCAGACTCCTCGGCCCCCTCATGTCTCCTCCTAACGTCCTTTCATCTCCTCATGATGGTTTCAATATTTTCCTTTCCTTACACATTTGCTGCTCCTACTTGAATCCTTGTCTCCTAAACTTGTGACTTTTGAAGGGTGCAGGCACAAATCCTGGCTGCAGCTGTTCTGCGTCGAGTTAGCATCTTCTCCCCATTCGTGTGCTGGTTTTCTCAGATGATTGGTTTAGCCTGTTGACCCTCTGCACCGACGTCACCTAATCACGTGGGTCCACCATGCTGGAGGGCAAAAGCGTGTAAACAGTGAGCGACAGGATGACTGAACAAAGGGAAAAGTAGAGGCTGAACTTGTTTTTGCGATCAAAACAAAAACAGAACTCCTCCAGCGTTCCTTCCACTGGTCCACGCCCAGTTCAGTTATCAGAAGCAGCGCATCTAGCGGTATGCTAACTAGCTTACCAGCGTTAGCTTACGGTCTCTCTGCAGCTGTTCACCGATGTAAACGTGTTGCTGACTTTGCCTAAGTTCACCCCTCTGGATCTATAACTTTATGTTGTAAACAGCGTTTCACTGGTGGTGCTACCGGGTCCAGCTGCTGCTCTCACACCGGAATGAGACGCTCTCTGAACGCCGACGCTCATATAAATAAATAAATAACGTCATTTTAACACACGTAAGCATCCATCGGAGCTTTAATATTGTTAATAATTGTCTGGCTTTACGCTACAGTGGACGGAGCGCAGCCTCCGTGGTGAAACACCCGTCCATCAGGATCATCAGTAACCAGTATAAACATGTATCCCTGTCCCCGTCTTCCTCGTGGAATAACGTTAATCTTACCCGCTAAAAACACGCTCGCTGCATATCTGAGGGCTGCTAGCCCGCTTGACGCTGCAGTTCATCTCCGTCCTCAGTCTCCATCGAAGTTATTAAGAAGAAAAAACGAGTTGAGTTTACGTCCTCGTGTCTCGGTGCAGCCGCCCTCGCAGCTGAAACCATTTTACCGTCAAATCAACTCAATAAACCATAGAAGGCTACAAACTGGCTCGTTTCCACTGGCTTCACTGGAGTTCCTACGGGTGTAAACGGTCTGTATGCCGTCCATCATGACGAGGGGGCGGTCACATGAGTGGCGTGACGCCACGTGCAAAGGGTCAATAGGCCGTTTTGGTTAAAACGTGAACTTTGGCCCCGCCCACATGCAGTTGAATGCAGACTGATCGGAAGCTAAACTTTTACCCAGAACTAGTGTTGGTTCTAACAGGATGAGCTCTCTGACCCCTGCTTTCAGACACATGAAGATCCACGATAAGGACCCGGCGAGCGGTCTGCTCCCCATCAGCAGCCCCCCCTCCCCCACCAAACGCCGCCGGACGTCTGTTAAGAGAAAGCAAGACTTTGACGAGGAGAATGGAGACGAGGCTCCCAGTAAAAAGGTACCGCTCCTCCTCAGCAGCAAGCGGATTTTACACAGGAAGCAGAACAACTTGGTTCTGATGACCCGGTTCTGTGTGTAGGTGATGGACGACGCTGCATTTGAAGAGGCAACAGCGATCCAGGGCTCGGAGGAGGAGCTGCTGCCCTGTCCCATCTGCTTCAAGACCTGCAGCTCCAGACTGGATCTGGACGCCCACATGGACTCTCACCCTGACACGATGCTCAGGTACCTTAACCTCACTTCCTGTTCAGTCTTACCCATAATCCCCTGCAGCAGTGGGCCCATTTGTGTTTGAGACGGTTGTTCATGCAATTAGGTCGTTTCGAACATTTACCAGACCTTCTGAAACTTTATACAGAATTTTTCAAGGTTTACTTCCTGGTTTCCTATCAAAATAAGAGCATGTAGAACACCTAAATATCAGGGATGAAGGGATGGTGGATGCAAGCATGTGTGGATAGATGGGTGAATGGATGCATGGGTAAATGGATGGATGAATGGATGCATGGGTGGATGGATGGATGGATGAATAGATGCATGTTTGGGTGGATGAAGGGATGAATGGATGCATGGGTGGGTGGATGGATGGTGGATGCAAGCATGGGTAGATAGATGGGTGAATGGATGCATTGATAGATGAATGGATGCATGGATGTATGTATGGATGGATGAATGAATGGGTGAATGGATGCATGGATGGATGAATGAATGGGTGAATGGATGTATGTATGGATGGATGGATGAATGGATGGATGAATGAATGGGTGAATGAATGCATGGATGAGGGATGGATGAATAGATGCATGTGTGGGTGAATGGATGGTGGGTGCAAGCATGGGTGTATAGATTGGTGAATGGATGCATGGATGGATGAATGAATGGGTGAATGGATGGATGGATGAATGAATGGGTGAATGGATGCATGGATGGATGAATGAATGGGTGAATGGATGGATGGATGAATGAATGGGTGAATGGATGCATGGATGGAGGGATGGATGAATAGATGCATGTGGGTGAATGGATGCATGCATGGATGGATAGATGGGTGAATGGATGCATATGTGGATGGATGAATATATGCATGGGTGGGTGGATGGATGAATAGATGTATGTGTGGGTGGATGAAGGGATGAATGGATGCATGGATGGATGGATGAACGAATAGATGCACGTGTGGGTGGGTGGATGGATGGTGGGTGCAAGCTTGGGTGGATAGATGAGTGAATGGATGCATGGATGGATGAATGAATGGGTGAATGGATGTTCTGGTTGGATGGGAAATAAAAAACACAAAGTTGTAAAAAAAAGAAAACTAAGACAAAGTAGAAAATGAATGAAAGAAGAGGAGGAGGGGCCTGAATGGGTGTCGTTTCTATGGAAACCATCCCCCACCAGCAAAACACCACCTCTCACACACAAACACAACAATGTAGAGTTTGTTTCCAAGGATGAAGGACAGATGATGAAAACAGGTGGAGAGAAAGAAGAGGAGGATGAAGACTGAAAGGGAAGCAGACAGAAACCAAAAATATCACGAAAGAACAAAAATAAAAAGAAGTTTAAGAAACAAAAAGAGTGAGAGAAGGTCTGCAGGCGGCGCTGAGCTCGTTATGGAGGGAGGAGAATATTTAGAGGTAAATCCTCATTAATCAGCTGGTAAGAGGATCGGCTGCAGTGCGGGGTGGGGGAGGAGTGGATGAGCGGTGGGTAGGAAGGATTGAGGGAGAAGAGGATGGAGGGATGGACCAGAGCAGTAAGGTGAGATGTTTGAGGAGCATGAAGACATGTTCCATGAAGACACGTTCTTCTTCTGTGGTTTTATCATCCCTTCAGGGGTCCAGAACCAAGATGTCCTCCAGACGTTTGGACCAAAGATGCAGCTGCTTGTTTAGCCTGTAGAGTGTTAGAGGTTTGTGTGAGGGCTGGAGATGATGAAGCAGTAAAACCTAAAGAGTGGTCCTCACAAACACACTAAAACTGAACAGCATCACCACCTAGTGGCTTGAAGGGAAATGTCAGCAGATAAATACAATTAAACTTTTTACAGATTAAACAAAAAACGTATCGTTTTTTTTTTCAAGAACATTTATTGTAAATCAGAATTGTGTTTTAATAAATGCTGAGTCAGCAGATTTTTCTGTAACAAAGCTATTCTTCTCCGTAGGTGTGACCTCTGCTGCCTCTCCTTCCGAACACACAGAGGACTGTTACGTCATAACGCAGGGGTTCATAAGCTCCTCCCCCAGGACCCCAATGGCCGACCCTTCATTCAAAACAACCCCTTCATCCCCACCGGCTTCAATGACCTGGCCTTCATAGACTTCTCATGCAAGAAGTTCGCTCACATTGCTCAGGTACCCCAAGCTGGACCCAGTGGGGTCATCATCTAGTCCTAGTGGGGTCATCACCTAGTCCCAGTGGGGTCATCATCTAGTCCCAGTGGGGTCATCACCTAGTCCTAGTGGGGTCATCACCTAGTCCTAGTGGGGTCATCACCTAGTCCCAGTGGGGTCATCATCTAGTCCTAGTGGGGTCATCACCTAGTCCCAGTGGGGTCATCATCTAGTCCCAGTGGGGTCATCACCTAGTCCTAGTGGGGTCATCACCTAGTCCTAGTGGGGTCATCACCTAGTCCCAGTGGGGTCATCACCTAGTCCCAGTGGGGTCATCACCTAGTCCTAGTGGGGTCATCATCTAGTCCTAGTGGGGTCATCATCTAGTCCTAGTGGGGTCATCACCTAGTCCTAGTGGGGTCATCACCTAGTCCTAGTGGGGTCATCACCTAGTCCTAGTGGGGTCATCACCTAGTCCTAGTGGGGTCATCACCTAGTCCTAGTGGGGTCATCATCTAGTCCTAGTGGGGTCATCACCTAGTCCTAGTGGGGTCATCATCTAGTCCTAGTGGGGTCATCATCTAGTCCTAGTGGGGTCATCACCTAGTCCTAGTGGGGTCATCACCTAGTCCCAGTGGGGTCATCACCTAGTCCTAGTGGGGTCATCACCTAGTCCCAGTGGGGTCATCATCTAGTCCTAGTGGGGTCATCACCTAGTCCCAGTGGGGTCATCACCTAGTCCTAGTGGGGTCATCATCTAGTCCTAGTGGGGTCATCACCTAGTCCTAGTGGGGTCATCACCTAGTCCCAGTGGGGTCATCACCTAGTCCTAGTGGGGTCATCACCTAGTCCTAGTGGGGTCATCACCTAGTCCCAGTGGGGTCATCACCTAGTCCCAGTGGGGTCATCACCTAGTCCTAGTGGGGTCATCACCTAGTCCTAGTGGGGTCATCACCTAGTCCCAGTGGGGTCATCACCTAGTCCTAGTGGGGTCATCACCTAGTCCTAGTGGGGTCATCACCTAGTCCTAGTGGGGTCATCACCTAGTCCTAGTGGGGTCATCACCTAGTCCTAGTGGGGTCATCACCTAGTCCCAGTGGGGTCATCACCTAGTCCTAGTGGGGTCATCACCTAGTCCTAGTGGGGTCATCACCTAGTCCCAGTGGGGTCATCACCTAGTCCTAGTGGGGTCATCATCTAGTCCTAGTGGGGTCATCACCTAGTCCCAGTGGGGTCATCATCTAGTCCCAGTGGGGTCATCACCTAGTCCTAGTGGGGTCATCACCTAGTCCTAGTGGGGTCATCACCTAGTCCCAGTGGGGTCATCATCTGGTCCCAGTGGGGTCATCATCTAGTCCTAGTGGGGTCATCATCTAGTCCCAGTGGGGTCATCACCTAGTCCCAGTGGGGTCATCACCTAGTCCCAGTGGGGTCATCACCTAGTCCTAGTGGGGTCATCACCTAGTCCCAGTGGGGTCATCATCTGGTCCCAGTGGGGTCATCATCTAGTCCTAGTGGGGTCATCATCTAGTCCCAGTGGGGTCATCACCTAGTCCCAGTGGGGTCATCATCTAGTCCTAGTGGGGTCATCATCTAGTCCTAGTGGGGTCATCACCTAGTCCTAGTGGGGTCATCACCTAGTCCTAGTGGGGTCATCACCTAGTCCTAGTGGGGTCATCATCTAGTCCCAGTGGGGTCATCACCTAGTCCCAGTGGGGTCATCACCTAGTCCCAGTGGGGTCATCATCTAGTCCTAGTGGGGTCATCATCTAGTCCTAGTTGGGTCATCACCTAGTCCTAGTGGGGTCATCACCTAGTCCTAGTGGGGTCATCATCTAGTCCCAGTGGGGTCATCACCTAGTCCCAGTGGGGTCATCACCTAGTCCCAGTGGGGTCATAGCTGACATGCTTGTCCTTCATGTACCAGTTAGGTCACTCAGGTCGGCAGACCGTAGTATTTAGAAAGTGCCTTGTACAATTTCTAAACCAGGTGATGCAGCTGTTTGGAACAGCTCACCTGTAGATGTTAACGAAGCGTCTACTTAGAATCTTTTATATCAGAGCTAAAAACCTTTATTTAACAAATCATAATTGAGGATCATCTTACTGTCTTTGTTATTGTCATTTAACCGTTTTATTGTAAATGTAAATAAGTTTTGGGTGTTTCATCAGCTGGCCCCTACAGGGTCACCTGCTGGTCCTAAGTTCTGATCTCTTGTCCTCCTTCAGGTGTGGTGTGAGACCAACCTGCGGCGCTGCATCAGTAAGTTCCACCGCTTCGTCTGTGACGGCTGCGATAAGGCCTTCCCCCTGCGCTCTGCCCTGGACCTCCATAAAACCACCTCCCACTCAGTCACACCCTCTGACCCAGAAGGAGCTGAGGAGAAGCTGAAGGAGAATGGAGATAAAGCTGCTGAGAATGGAGATGGTGACCAGTTAGATGAAGATCTGCCGTCAGAGCAGCAAGGCTTCCTGGGATTTCTGGGCCTTAAGCACATTTCAAAGGTATGTTGGTCGGTTTGGACTGCTATCACGACTTTAAAGGTTCTGATGGTTGCTGTGTTTAAACATCAGGTGGAGACTGGTCCTACTGATGATGAGATCCATCAGGCCCACCTGGACAGCATCAAGGTCATCCACGTGGAGCCGTCGTCCTCCAGCTTGCCCCTTGAGCCAGCGTCCTCCTGCCTGTCGGAGGGGTTGGTTCCCATGTTGGGTCTGGGAGTTGGAGGACTGGCGGCTCTGAGCATCCCACTCCTGGATGGCTCCACCCTGCAGGGCCTGTCCCAGCGGGAGGCCCTGAGCCTGTTGTCCCTGCAGCCGTTCCAAGCTGGCTTCCTGCTGCAGCCTGAAGGGGGCGCCACCACAGCCAGCGCTGCCTCATCAGGGGTCAAACCCGGAGAGGCGGGTGGAACTGGGGTTGTGGAGCTGGCGGATATCCAACAGATCCTCAAAGTGGCGACTGCATCGCCCAATCAGATCCCTCCCCTGGCCAAAGCTCCGGGGTTCAGCGGAGGTCACGGTGGGTTTCTATTGGTCAGTTTAACATCTGCTTCTGTGTCTAGTTGCTTAGTAACCGTTTGTCCCCTCCAGGTCTGGTTATGGGTCAGAAGGCCATGCCTCCTTTAAAGCCCAAACCTCCCATCAGCCCCCGCTCCAGCCTCACAACAACCACGCCCCCCCCTCTGCAGAGCTCCCAGCAGGCCTCCCTAGGCTGCATCAGCCCCAGCCTCCCCCCTCCTCCCCACACCCTCCTCAAAAATTCCTCCTCCTTGGTAGGGGGCGGAGCTCAGATGGATGCAGAGTGTATGGGGGACACGCCGCTGTCTGATTCACCACCTGCTGCCACCACAGCTGTTCAGGAGGAGGCGGGGCTTAGCATCAGGAAGGTGGGAACCAAAGCGGGCATAAATAGCAGTGGCGGGGTGAAGGGCTCTTTCCCGTGCCGGTCGTGTGATCAGGTGTTTGCCTTCTCCGGAGTCCTGCAGGCCCACATGCGCTTTCATCTTGGCACGCTTCCCCATCAGTGCAACATCTGCGACTACGTGGCACCGGACAAAGCAACGCTGATCCGCCATCTTCGTACACACAGCGGTGAGCGGCCATATGTGTGCCGCGTCTGCCATTACCCCTTCACTGTCAAGGCCAACTGCGAGCGCCACCTCAGGAAGAAACATGCCAAGACTTCCAGGAAGGACATCGAAAAGAACATCAAATATGTCACCTCAACCACTACCGCCAGCATGGCGGTGTCGATCACAGCGACAACCCAAGACACGGAGACCAGCTGCACTGGGGCTGAGACCACCTGCCGGTTCTGTGGCGAGGACCTGAAATCGTACCGCGCCCTGCAAATCCACCTGCGCACGCACAACGGCTGCCAGAGGAAACCGTTTGAGTGCCGCCGCTGCGGCGCCGCCTTTCTGGCTAAACGGAACTGCATTCACCACCTGCTGAAGCAACATCCAGAGGTCCAGGAGCGGGAGATTGAGGACCACATCGCCACACTCATGCCTACCTCCACTGGCACCACCACTCGCCCTTCCCTGGTTAATCAGGTGGCACTGAACGGGATCAGTCACCCAGGTCAGGTGCTCCGAACGCCGAAGGTGGAGGAACCGGGTTATCCTGTAGAACTGGACCAGCCTCTGGACTTCTCATCTAAAGGTCGAGGCCCCTGCGCTCAGGTTGGAACTCCCTACATCAAATCTGAGAGCTCCTCCCCCAGCTTTGACTGTTCCTCCCTCGACCAGCCAATCGACCTATCCATCCCTAGCAAGCGGCAGCGCCGGGATCTGGGTGGGGAAGAGAAAGATGGTGCCGTTACAGAGTCCACTTTGCTAAAGGATGAGACGATAGCCAGTGTCTTCCCGCCTCTGCAGTCTCACCCACCGCTGGGCTGCTACCAGCTTCCCTCTTCCTCCACTCACACCACCTCAGCTCGAGCCCCCCGCCTCAAGCCTCTGCTGCCCAAACCTGCTTCCACATCATCTCCACCTTCCGTGAAGGAGCTGGCTCCTCTGGCCTCCATCGCTCAGATCATCAGCTCTGTGTCTACAGCTCAGAGCCTGCTGGAGGGAAAACCGCCGCCAGGAGCCTCCTGTCAGACGGATTCAGCTGCTGAGGCTCCTGGACCCTCCGCCCTCCAGGATGTGGCGAGCGAAGATGCGTCTGACGGATCCTCCAGGTATGAGATTTCCACCTGTTCATGTTTACTGCAGCTGCAAACAGCTGTCACGTCTGATTGTTCTTCTCCTAACAGAAGACGGTCGAGGAAGAAGCCGGCAGCTCTGGTAGCAAAGGAGAAGCTGTTGAGCAGCAACATCGACCTGGAATCCAGCGGAGAGTTCGCTAGCGTGGAGAAGATGCTCGCCACCACAGACACCAACAAGTTCAGCACCTACCTGCAGACCAGCACGGAGCTGGTAGCAAAGAGAGGTGAGACAGAGACAGACAGAAAGGGTGGAGACACACAATGAGCTTCAGCTTCACTTGGACCACTTCCATTTCTGCAGACACAGAAAAAGCAGGAGACAACGGAACAGAGAAGGAGGTAAGAGTGAAGGAGGAGGGGAAACCACCTGCAATGGCCGTGACCGGTTCTCAGCCCAAAGGGAAAAAGAATGCCTACTCCAACTCAGTCCAGAAGATGACCTGTCCCTTCTGTCCCCGAGTCTTTCCCTGGATGAGCTCTCTGCAGAGACACATGCTGACCCACACAGGTACCAAGACACCTTTTCTACATCAGGGATTAGTTACATGTAGTAAACATGTTAACCCACCAGAAACTAGTTACACATACTAAACCTATGTTGGAAACCATCAGAGACTAGTTACACATAGTAAACATGTTAATCCATCAGAGACTAGTTACACATAGTAAACATGTTAATCCATCAGAGACTAGTTACACATAGTAAACATGTTAATCCATCAGAGACTAGTTACACATAGTAAACATGTTAATCCATCAGAGACTAGTCACACATAGTAAACAGAGGTTGACCATCAGAGACTAGTTACACATAGTAAACAGAGGTTGACCCATCAGAGACTAGTTCACCATAGTAAACAGAGGTTGACCCCCCCAGAGACTTGTCGCATGTAGTAAACAGATGTTAACCCATCATAGACTAGTTACACACAGTAAACAGAGGTTGACCCATCAGAGACTAGTTACACATAGTAAACAGAGGTTGACCCATCAGAGACTAGTTCAACATAGTAAACAGAGGTTGACCCCCCAGAGACTTGTCGCATGTAGTAAACAGATGTTAACCCATCATAGACTAGTTACACACAGTAAACAGAGGTTGACCCATCAGAGACTAGTTACACATAGTAAACAGAGGTTGACCCATCAGAGACTTGTCGCATGTAGTAAACAGATGTTAACCCATCATAGACTAGTTACACACAGTAAACAGAGGTTGACCCATCAGAGACTAGTTACACATAGTAAACAGAGGTTGACCCATCAGAGACTAGTTCAACATAGTAAACAGATGTTAACCCATCATAGACTAGTTACACACAGTAAACAGAGGTTGACCCATCAGAGACTAGTTACACATAGTAAACAGAGGTTGACCCATCAGAGACTAGTTCAACATAGTAAACATGTTAACCCATCATAGACTAGTTACACACAGTAAACAGAGGTTGACCCATCAGAGACTAGTTACACATAGTAAACAGAGGTTGACCCATCAGAGACTAGTTACACATAGTAAACAGAGGTTGACCCATCAGAGACTAGCTCAACATAGTAAACAGAGGTTGACCCATCAGAGACTTGTCGCATGTAGTAAACAGATGTTAACCCATCATAGACTAGTTACACACAGTAAACAGAGGTTGACCCATCAGAGACTAGTTACACATAGTAAACAGAGGTTGACCCATCAGAGACTAGTTCAACATAGTAAACAGAGGTTGACCCCCCAGAGACTTGTCGCATGTAGTAAACAGATGTTAACCCATCATAGACTAGTTACACAAAGTAAACATGTTAACCCATTAGAGACTAATTGCACACAGTAAACAGAGGTTTACCCATCAGAGACTAGTCGCATGTAGAAAACAGGTTAACCCATCAGAGACTAGTTAAATAAGTAAACAGATGTTAACCCATCATAGACTAGTTACACACAGTAAACATGTTAACCCATCAGACTAATTGCACACAGTAAACAGAGGTTTACCCATCAGAGACTAGTCGCATGTAGAAAACATGTTAACCCATCAGAGACTAGTTACATGTAGTAAACAGATGTTAACCCATCAGAGACTAGTTACACATAGTAAACAGGGGTTGACCCCCCAGAGACTAGTCGCACGTAGAAAACAGGTTAACCCATCAGAGACAAGTTACACACAGTAAACATGTTAACCCATCAGAGACTAGTCGCATGTAGGAAACAGGTTAACCCATCAGACTAGTCACACATAGTAAACAGATGTTAACCCATCAGATACTAGTCACACATAGTAAACAGATGTTAACCCATCAGAGACTATTTACACATAGTAAATAGAGGTTGACCCATCAGAGACTAGTCGCATGTAGGAAACCGATGTTAACCCATCAGAGACTAGTCACACATAGTAAACAGATGTTAACCCATCAGAGACTAGTCGCATGTAGCAAACAGATGTTAACCCATCAGAGACTAGTCGCATGTAGGAAACAGATGTTAACCCTTCAGAGACTAGTCACACATAGTAAACAGATGTTAACCCATCAGAGACTAGTCGCATGTAGCAAACAGATGTTAACCCATCAGAGACTAGTCACACATAGTAAACAGATGTTAACCCATCAGAGACTAGTCGCATGTAGGAAACAGGTTAAGCCATAAGAGACTAGTCACACATAGTAAACATGTTAACCAATCAGAGACTAGTCGCATGTAGGAAACAGGTTAAGCCATCAGAGACTAGTCACACATAGTAAACATGTTAACCCATCAGAGAGTAGTCGCATGTAGGAAACAGGTTAACCCATAAGAGACTAGTCACACATAGTAAACAGATGTTGACCCATCAGACTAGTTACACACAGTAAACATGTTAACCCATCAGAGACTAGTTGCACGTAGGAAACAGGTTAACCCATCAGAGACTAGTCACACATAGTAAACAGATGTTGACCCATCAGAGACTAGTTACACACAGTAAACATGTTAACCCATCAGAGAATAGTTGCACGTAGGAAACAGGTTAACCTATCAGAGACTAGTCACACATAGTAAACAGATGTTAACCCATCAGAGACTAGTTACTATTAGTAAACAGAGTTTGACCCATCAGAGACTAGTTACACACAGTAAACATGTTAACCCATCAGAGACTAGTCGCATGTAGGAAACAGATGTTAACCCATCAGAGAATAGTCACACATATTAAACAGATGTTAACCCATCAGAGAATAGTTACACATAGTAAACAGAGTTTGACCCATCAGAGACTACTTACACACAGTAAACATGTTCACCCATCAGAGACTAGTTGCATTTAGGAAACGGGTTAACCCATCAGAGACTAGTTACACACAGTAAACATGTTAACCCATAAGAGAGTAGTCACATGTAGTAAACAGATGTTAACCCATCAGAGAATAGTCACACATAGTAAACGGAGGTTGACCCATCAGAGACTAGTTACACACAGTAATCATGTTAACCCATCGGAGACTAGTTCAACATAGTAAACAGAGGTTGACCCATCAGAGACTAGTTACACACAGTAAACATGTTAACCCATAAGAGAGTAGTCACATGTAGTAAACAGATGTTAACCCATCAGAGAATAGTCACACATAGTAAACGGAGGTTGACCCATCAGAGACTAGTTACACATAGTAAACAGAGGTTGACCCATCAGAGACTAGTTACACATAGTAAACAGAGGTTGACCCATCAGAGACTAGTTACACATAGTAAACAGATGTTAACCCATCAGAGACTAGTTACACATAGTAAACAGAGGTTGACCCATCAGAGACTAGTTACACACAGTAATCATGTTAACCCATCAGAGACTAGTCACACATAGTAAACAGATGTTAACCCATCAGAGACTAGTTACACATAGTAAACAGAGGTTGACCCATCAGAGACTAGTTACACATAGTAAACAGATGTTAACCCATCAGAGACTAGTTACACACAGTAAACATGTTAACCCATAAGAGAGTAGTCACATGTAGTAAACAGATGTTAACCCATCAGAGAATAGTCACACATAGTAAACGGAGGTTGACCCATCAGAGACTAGTTACACACAGTAATCATGTTAACCCATCGGAGACTAGTTCAACATAGTAAACAGAGGTTGACCCATCAGAGACTAGTTACACACAGTAAACATGTTAACCCATAAGAGAGTAGTCACATGTAGTAAACAGATGTTAACCCATCAGAGAATAGTCACACATAGTAAACGGAGGTTGACCCATCAGAGACTAGTTACACACAGTAATCATGTTAACCCATCAGAGACTAGTCACACATAGTAAACAGATGTTAACCCATCAGAGACTAGTTACACATAGTAAACAGAGGTTGACCCATCAGAGACTAGTTACACACAGTAAACATGTTAACCCATCAGAGACTAGTCACGTGTAGTAAACAGATGTTAACCCATCAGAGACTAGTTCAACATAGTAAACAGAGGTTGACCCATCAGAGACTAGTTACACATAGTAAACAGAGGTTGACCCATCAGAGACTAGTTACACACAGTAAACATGTTAACCCATCAGAGACTAGTCACGTGTAGTAAACAGATGTTAACCCATCAGAGACTAGTTCAACATAGTAAACAGAGGTTGACCCATCAGAGACTAGTTACACATAGTAAACAGAGGTTGACCCATCAGAGACTAGTTACACACAGTAAACATGTTAACCCATCAGAGACTAGTCACGTGTAGTAAACAGATGTTAACCCATCGGAGACTAGTTCAACATAGTAAACAGAGGTTGACCCATCAGAGACTAGTTACACATAGTAAACAGATGTTAACCCATCAGAGACTAGTTACACATAGTAAACAGAGGTTGACCCATCAGAGACTAGTTACACACAGTAATCATGTTAACCCATCAGAGACTAGTCACACATAGTAAACAGATGTTAACCCATCAGAGACTAGTTACACATAGTAAACAGAGGTTGACCCATCAGAGACTAGTTACACACAGTAAACATGTTAACCCATCAGAGACTAGTCACGTGTAGTAAACAGATGTTAACCCATCAGAGACTAGTCACATGTAGTAAACAGATGTTAACCCATCAGAGACTAGTTACACATAGTAAACATTCCAACCCATCAGAGACTAGTCACGTGTAGTAAACAGATGTTAACCCATCAGAGACTAGTTACACATAGTAAACATTCCAACCCATCAGAGACTAGTCGCATGTAGGAAACAGGTTAACCAATCAGAGACTAGTCACATATAGGAAACAGATGTTAACCCATCAGAGACTAGTCGCATGTAGGAAACAGATGTTAACCCATCAGTCAGACCGGTTGAAACTTCCTGTTTCTGATTTGAATTGAAAGAAAAGCTTTATTAAACATTTAAATCTGTAAAATCCTGCTGCAGAGATCAAAGAGTCTAAATAAAAGATGTTTATTTTTCAGAAGCAGCAGGCGAAAGTTTCCTGCTCTGATCCTGCTCTTGTCTCGTCTCCAGGTCAGAAGCCATTCCCGTGTCCTCGCTGTGACGCCTTCTTCTCCACCAAGTCCAACTGTGAGCGCCACCTGCTGCGCAAACATGGCGTCACTCACAGAACTCTGCGACGCAACGGTGCTATTATGAAGAAAGATGGCGACGAGGGCTCGCCTGAGAGTGCCGGTCAGAACATCCCCACCGCTTTAACCAGAACCCACAGATGGTCCTCTTTATCTGGGTTGGGTCTGTTGTGTGTTACAGAGAGCCAGTCGGAGACGGAGCAGACCACACCGGAAAAACCAGATCCCGGCAGTGCCGTGGACCCAGGCCCTGCCCCCTGTGTTTATAACACCGCCTCTAACCAAAACTCACCACTAAGCCCCACCCACAAACCCAGTCAAGGTCAGTCCACGAAACAGCGGGAATATTGATTCTGACATGAAAGTATTCAACAGCTGAGATTATGAGTTTGGGCTGTTGTGTAGCTCTTCTCCCAGAACCAGAACCAGAACCTAATGCTTTGTTTCTGCTACAGCGTGCAGTTCGGCTGTTGCAGCTGCTGAGCAGCGAGAACAGGAGGCCACCGAACATCCTGACCTGCAGGTGGCGCCAGAAAACAAAGGAGCAGGAAAACAGGCCCCGCAGGGCACCAAGGTAACCCTGCGAGAGTAGGTCATCACCAGAGATCAGGAGCTGCTGATCCACGGATCAGATCCTGATCACTGGCACTGATCCTCAGATGGTTTCTCAGGTCTGAACGGATCCTCCGGGGTTCTGGATCAGAAGCAGCTTGGTTATGTTAGTCATGTGATAATCAAAGATCTCCTCCTCCTCCTCCTCAAGGTGGAGGTCATGGATGATGAAGACTGTCAAAGCAACAAAAGTCTGGACCTGAACTTTGGCAAAAAGCTCATCGACTTTAAGCTGTCCACGTCCTCCTCGGGCTCCACCCCACAAGAAGAGCAACCCTCCTCCCCCTCACCTCTGTCCTCTACTCCCCCGGAGCCATCAGAGAGCTCGGAGGAGAAACCAGCAGCTGCCTCCTCCTCCTCCTGCAGCCCTACAGACAAGCAGCAGCCAGAATACAAACACACATGTCGCGTCTGCAGGAAGAGTTTCCGCTACGCCACCACTCTGGCCCGACATGAGAGGGCGCACCTCTTAGAGGAGGCGCCGGCTCCCACAGAGGAGGTTTCACCAGTCGAGGAGGAGAAGGAAGAGGTGATGGAGAGCATTACTGCTGAGGAGGAGATAGACACTGAGATGGAGGTAGAAGAGGGAGGGGGAACAGTAGTGGAAGGTGAAGGAGGAGAGAGAGGTGAATCGGAGGAGGAGAAGGAGAAGGAGGAGAGGAGCGATGAAGAGGCATCAGAACCAAAGAGTTTGGAGGGAGGAGGGAAGGGAGGAGAACGGGTGGACAAGAGGAAGAAGATCTGCAACGAGTGTGGGAAGAGATTCTGGTCCCTGCAGGACCTGACCAGACATCTGAGGTCACACACAGGTAACACACACACACACACACACGTGCACGCACACATGCACGCACACACACCGACACACACACACAGAGATGCACACACACATACACACCATCGACATACATATATGGTCAATGGGTTTCCATAGACTCCAATAACACGTTTTTGAGGCTAAATGGGAGGTGGCCACCACCTCCCATTTTGACCGTGTCACAGGTTCCGTCAAGCCCAGACAATTCCATAAAAGGGAAGAGAGGTGGAGCTGAGGGTGGGGCTGTAAGGCTGGGATCAACTGACGACACCCGGTCGAACTAGCTACAAGCTAACCTGAAGCTAACCCAAAGCTAACAGAGGTAGCTACCTAGCTACAACCGGAGTTAACTGTGCACAACACCAGAGCTTCTGAGTCAGAGATACGCCGGGCTGACCGCTGGGGAGAACCGGGTGGAAAACATCGGCCTTCCGAGAGCTCCACAAGCCGATAGTGGGAACCCAGCTCCACCAACATGTTATATTTCAACCCATTTTCTAAAGTGCAGCATTATGTTAAATGCACTGGGTTTTACCCTATTACATTTAAATGTCATGGTTAAACAGTACATGTTAAAATCTAAGCTCAGCTCGGCAGTGACCTAAAATACATAAATATAATTTTACTTACCGAAAAAAATGAAGTGGAGACTCCTTGGACGCTCTATTAGTTCAATTAATGCCACAGCAAGTCATTTTGTCCAACAATTGCACAAAAATATCCAAACAAGAATACACACACACAGAGACTCAAAATGCCGGAACAGTTTCCAGGCCAGACCGAGGCTCTACTGAGGCCTTTCCACGGAGCTAGCTCTGTGGTCACGTGGGTCTGATGCTCATTATTTATACAGAATTTTAGGCTTTTAATACACTTAAACAGAAGAGTGAGAAAAACATTCACCCCCCTCAGAGTTGTCATGAGTGTAAACTAGATCATTTAAACCAAAAACATGTTCTGGTACCAGGCTGTAAACATGTTTATTTCTGCTGTGAAATTGGTATTTTTAACATGGGAGTCAATGAGGATTTGCTCGCTTCTGACACCAGCCCCTAGTGGACGAGGGTGGAACTGGACCAATTTTAGAGCCGCATTGTGGGGGCCTGATCCACACACACACACACACACACACACACACACACACACACACACATGCACACACACACATACACACACACATGCACACACACATGCACACACACATACACACACACATGCACACACACATACACACACACATGCACACACACACACATGCCCACACGTGCGCGCACACACAACACATGCACATGCACACACACGTACACACATGCACGTGCTCATGCACACACACACACATGTGCACACACACACACACACACATGCACACACACACATACACACACACATGCACACACACACATACACACACACATGCACACACACATACACACACACATGCACACACACATACACACACACATGCACACACACATACACACACACATGCACACACACATACACACACACATGCACACACACACACATGCCCACACGTGCGCGCACACACAACACATGCACATGCACACACACGTACACACATGCACGTGCTCATGCACACACACACACATGTGCACACACACACACACACACACACAACACATGCACACACATGCACATGCTCACGCACACACACACACATGTGCACACACACACACACACTTGCACACACACACATACACACACACATGCACACACACACACATGCACACACACACACACACACATGCCCACACGTGCGCGCACACACATGCACACACATGCACACACATGCACGTGCTCACACACACACACACACATGTGTGCACACACACACACACACACACATGTGCCCACACACACACACACAGACACTGACAGGTGTGTTGTGCTTCTCATTCCTCAGGTGAGCGGCCCTACAAGTGTCAGACCTGTGAGCGGACCTTCACCCTGAAGCACAGTCTGGTCCGGCACCAGCGGATCCACCTGAGGCCCCGTGGCGCTGACGGCTCCTCCGGCGCCAACGACGACGCCAGCGAGGATGGAGACTCCCCGACCCCCACCTCCACCTGCCCCCCTTCAGAGAATGAAAGTGAGTGTGGGAGCGCCGCCGCCGGGTCCAAGGAGCTGGAGGAGGATGAAGAGGACCTGAAGGAGGAGGAGGTGAAGGAACCTGCTCCACCACCACCCTCTTCAGTAGAAGCTGAACCCATAGCCCAGCAGACATCTACAGACTGGCCTGATGGAGCTGCTGGTTCAAAGAGCACCTCCACCAGCGACACCCCAGCAGACTCCTCCAAAGACCCCCCTCCCTCCTCTAGCTCTCCAGCAGGAGGCGCTGCAGCAGATGGACCTCCAGAAGGCTTTATTGAAGGAGTTCTGGAGCTCTACACCAAGCCCCCCCTGGAGCATATCCTCCCCAGCGGAGAGCCCCCCCTGGTGGGGGTGGAGTGACCCCAGCCCCCAGTGCCATGCAGCCAGCAGCAGCCCAGCTGAACCCTGAAGTGCCTTACTACTAGTCTTAGATGTTTCTGCTAGATCTTTATCTGCATCGTCTGGATCGGACTTTTAGAGCTTTTTATGATTCTGTTTCTGAGGGAATCAGCAAGTCAGCAATAAAAGATGATTTATTATTGTTCTATCTTTTGTTTGGAGACTTGATGATCAACGTAGGAGACACTTGAAGACCGATGGACATGGAAATCCCAGCCAGGCTCCACAGAACCGCTGCCAGGTTCTGATGCTGTGACATGAAAGCAAACGTTTGGAGCAGAACCCTTCAGTCCAACAGGCGCTGGTTGGACATTTGATGCTCTCCAGCTCCTCCTCAGCTTCATGACCTGGCCATGGACTGGAGGAAGTGGTGGGTCAGGCCGGTCCCACCAGCAACAGAATCTACTGGTTTAGTAACTGGAAACAACGGAGCAGTCGTCACACCATCTCTCCCTCTCTCCCCATGATCTTGTTGCTCGTCCTTTGGAGGAAGAACTCTGAAAGGGTGAAGATAGTGTTTGTTATAATAGACCCATCCCACTATGGACCCCCAGGACCCTCTCTGATTGGCTGATCCCATGGACAGAGGCTAAGCAGCCATCATGGCGGAGTGTTTATTCTTCTGCATGTGTGCGATTTATCGGTGATATTTAGGTGTGGGACGGGGAATTTGTGTTTCTTAAGTAACTGAACAAATGAAAGTGTGTGTGTGTGTCACCGTCGCCCCCTACTGTTGTCTTAGCTTGATTCCAGTGACACCAGCATGCTAGCATGTCCGGCCACTAACACTCATTCAGTTTACCTCAGCTGTGACTCTTTAACTGAATCTTCGCCCGGTCAGGGCGGCTCTGCGCATCGCCCTTAAATCTACGTCTTCCTCGCTGATACGTGGTTGCACCTTCGAAAGCAGACTTGCTACTGAGGGCCAAACCAGAGCTAGCCAGCGCCAACTCGTTAGCGTAGCCTCTAATGCAGGTAGCAGAGCTGAGTGTGGGGATGATGGCAGCTAAAGAAGAGTGATTTAGTTGAGAAGAACATTAAGTGCTAAGTTACTGCCTTTCACCATGAAAGTGGTCCACACGCTAGCTCAGTCCCCACCAGAGAGGGTCCGGCACCAGCTAGCTGCTTAGCTTCAAACATATCCAGTTGTTAGTGTCCCAGCGTTCCCTGGGCAGTATTACTTGTCTTCAGTCCTTGGACTGGGTTAGTATCAGTGGTCCAGTTGGTTCCAGCCTGTCCCAGTCCAACCAGCTTCAGGTTCTTCTGAATCATCTCTACTCAAGCCTGTGGTCCGGGATTAGAAGCTTCAGAGACAATCAGTTTCTATAAAAATGAACAAAAGACTCCTTTAATCTCAGACGGGTCCCTGAAGGAGACCGTAGGCCACTCTGGAGGACACGCGTACGGGTTACCAGGTTTAGGTCGGTGGGAACCGAGTTAACTAGCTGCACATAAACAACAAAGGGCTAACTGTACCGACACCGACCCAACTGGTACCGATGGTAATGGGAAGATGGTTCTGAGGGGTGGGGAGTGTGTGTGTGTGTGTGTGTGTGGGTAAATGGAATACTTTGCTACGTGTATAATTTTCTCGTTTTATATCTGATAACCTCAAAAGCAAATGAAACCTCAGCGGCTCGTATCAGAACTGTAAGTTCCTGCTGTTCCGCGGGTCAGAACTGTTCTGACCAGCACTAACCTCCAGCCCTTCTGCTCCTCCTCCTACCAGCACTTCAGTGCCGAGAGAAAGGGTCGGTTCAGCCCAGATGTTTTACAACATGATTTTCTGCAAACCCAGATGTTTAAACCGCCTTCAGAAGCTGTTTATCCTCTCTACTAATACCACTTCCATCACTGAGGAGAAACGGTGCGACACTTCCTCCACACCACCAGGTGGCAGTAGTGCCCACAGTAACATCAAACAGCAACATCAAAGGAGGAACGTTTGCTCCACTTCCCACTGGTTAACGCTCAGCTACGGGTCTTTGGTGCTTTTAAACACCTTTTTCTGTAATCACAGTTTTTGAGATTTTTAAAATCCATCAATCTGGTTGGATCTGGTTGGGTCTGGTTGGATCTGGTTGGATCTGGTTGGGTCTGGTTGGATCTGGTTGGGTCTGGTTGGATCTGGTTGGGTCTGGTTGGATCTGGTTGGGTCTGGTTGGGTCTGGTTGGATCTGGTTGGGTCTGGTTGGATACCAGATTTTTCAGGAAGGATCGCTCTTGGATTAAGTAGTAGAAACACAAACTACGACGCCGTTTTTCCGTTTCTCGCTTCCCCCTGTTGCTGTAAACATGGAATCGTACACCCCCACCAACCAGCTGCAGGGGGCGGGGTTTCAGCATGTAGGTCAGAATAATCTGGATGAAGATATTTTAGTAAATGTAGAAATGATGTTTAAAATGTACGAAGCGGCATAGTAGTGCTAGTACCAGGACTCTTGAAGGTGGAGCCAACAGATTATTTGTGTGGACAGGAAGTGGTTCGTTGTGGGCGGGGCCTTCACATTCAAAGTCTCCTTTGAAATAAAAACTGATTAAAAGTAAATCACAGCAGAAAGCAGGTTTCGTGTTAACGTCCGATCTGAACATATTTACTTAGAATCGTAGCAGGACATGTTCATTGAGCAGTAAGATGAATAAACGGTAATTCACGTTTGTCTTGACCGTTTACGTTAGCGATCTAACGACTGCTAGCTACGATTAGCGCTCTGTGACTGAAGCTCTCTGCTATACGCTTGAGCCTCAACACAACAGTAAAAGTGAATAATACGAGACTTTCGTAGCGATGTTAAACATGTTCAGGGCAAAAAGCTACACAGCTAAGGGCTGGCGCTGGTTTCTTCGTTTAGCTCCATAAACTTGCTTTTGACCAGCCGAGGGTTTGTCAGCGATTTAGAGCATTTTTGAGTTTGATCGTTTTTGGTTTGGAGGCAAAACAAGACAAATGTTAGCTAACACCGACGAGCCTCGGCGGCGGTCGTGGATTAGAACCGGCCCTTTCTCTGTTTTAGTCTCGATGCTTCTAGAGATCTGTGCCCGCTGTGTGTGTGTGTGTGTGTGTGTGTGTGTGTGTGTGTGTGTGTGTGTGTGTGTGGCCATACAAATACTGGACTTCCATTCGAATGCACATGGACTTTTTTAAACCGTATTTATTTGGATCCCGTGTGCGTGTGTGACTTGAGAAGAAGCCATGTATTAAATCTCACATTAATGCTGCAGAAGTGTTGTGAGGAAGCGCTGGGTTGTTTTGTGGACTCACTGGCTTGCCGTAGAGCAGGTCGGCGTGACTCAGACTAGCAATAAGAACCCTGAACCTAAAAGCTTTATGTAGATATCCTGTTTGTCTGGGTCTTCTGGTTCTGTTAATTTTTAGTTTGGTGGAGATTGTTTTCTTTATGAATTATAAATACATATAAACTGTGAAATCCATTGTGTTCAGTTAAAGGGTGACTTAGGTTAGTTTTTATTTGCATGTTAATCTAATCCATCCAGTTATGGATGATTCATCTTCTCTCCATCACTTCCTGTGCTACACACACACATATATAAATATGAAATTATATATAATCTCGCTCTCAGGGTCTTTCTCAAATCCATTTTTGAATTGCTTCATGTTCTTATTTCCTGAGTCAAATGTTCAGATTTATTATTTTCTTTTTAAGATGATTCAGATCTGTCAATCACTACATTTAGCACTTGACTGTGAACTTGTCATGGCCCAGTAAACGTGGCTGAGAGCAGACTTCTGATTCTGGCCCGTTTCTGTTTTAGTTGGAACCTTTTTAACCTTTAGTCCCAGACGAGGAGGACGTTCGACTCGCATGTGTGCTGGACCTCAATCTGAAAGCATTAATACACAATCGTCTCGTAAATTTCTCATCAGTTTCTCCTTTTTCTGCTGTTTGAAAACATGACAGTGTTTCACAAAGTCAAGAGATGTAAACTCTGTATTCAACCCAATAAGAAACAGCAATAAAGATTATGTTAAGGAAAGGTGTGCAAATCTACGTGGCTCACTGGTGTCTTCTTCCTCATTCACACCTTTTAAACTCACATTTCATTTATTTTCCTCTAAAGAAAAAAATGCAATTTTGGATAAAAAACTAACAAATTTTACTTTTTTACTTGAGCAGGAATGAGTTTTAAAATATAATTTTTTAGCATTAATGGGAGTAAAAACTACCATATTACAAACAGAATAAAATTATAAAAAAATTCCCTAAATGTTGCGCTGCACTACAGTAGACACATAATACACAACTTGCAGGCATCTTTTTTAACCATTAAACATCAGAGTAACTGCGTAACCACTCGGTGGCGCTGTGGGGCCATACGCAGGCTATGTTCTACTTCCGGTCTCCGTTTCAGCGGGAACCTGTTAACGGACTGGAGCTCCAGTAAGTAGAATACACGACTTACCGATCTGCGGTTTGCAGCTGCCCGATGTTTAATCTTATCAAGAGAAAAGATGTCATCCATAAATTTCTACCGTATCTCTGAGATGATTTATCCGTCTGTTAATTTTAGCTAAACGAGCTAACGCAGCATGCTAACACATCGCGTGGCTAACTCTGAAGCTCCACTAGCTCCTGTGTTGTCACAAACTAAACGTTATTTCCATTTAATCGTATACAGAATTATTTTCTTCCCTCCTCTAAGCCTGCCTCCTGAGCAGTTGCCTAGGTTTATGAAACACTAAAAGCTTCGTTCCCCTGCGCTGAAAACCGGTTGTTTGTGGGGCGCTCCCTTCTGGGTTGGACAGGTGTTGTGTCGAAAAGAGCACGCCTGCTGAGAATTGCAGGTAGAGAGTTGGGGGAAGGCTCTTCGTTCAGCTGCGTGTTGATGAAGTAAATGATTAGAAATATGAGAAACGAGACAGCTTTGTACTGACGGGCGGTAGCAAAATTGGTAATTAAAAAAACAAACTTTTTTTTTCGGAAGCGGAAGCCAGTCGGGAGCCAGTCTACTTCCGCGTCATGGGTCCCCGGAAGAACGCAAAAATGAATGCAAGTCTCTTTTTTTTTATTACAAAACAAGCTTATTTACAGTACAAATAAGGCAAGCATGCAAATGTATTCACATGACATTTGAACAGGCAGTAAAAAGGGGAGTAAAAAGAATAAACAATGCAAGGGATACTGTACAATTCTAGGAAGATTACACAATAGTCTATACATATATTCATATCCGTTATCTTTAATACATTTAAGGGATTTTAGATACAAATTAAAATCATTTACAAATGCATTGAAAATAGGGGGTGAATTGAGTATTTTTTGTTTATGTATAAAAAGTGTTGCCAGACGGAGAACTAGACTGCAGCAGAGTTCTTGGTTCTTAGTTTGAAGGAGAGTTCCAAAGGTGACATCATCTTTTGAAATGGGATGTGGAATTTCAATTTGAGGTTGAATCCAGTCTTCAAAACAGTTCCAAAATGTCCGTGTCTTGTTGCATTCAAAGAAAATATGATCAGTTGTTTCGACATCCTTCTCACAAAAGGTACAGGAATTATCATCAATGTTAAAACGTTTTCTGAGAAGTTCCTTATAGAGGGATAGACATTGTTTACAATTTTAAAATGTGTTTCTTTGACTTTAGGTTGAATAGGAAGTTTTAAATAAAGAGTTCTTAGTTTAATAATGGATCTTTTACCAAATTTGTAAATGTTGTTGTTCTTGTTGACTTAACAAGGGTATAGTTGATCAGTAAAACACCGTCTAATAAATTGGTTGGTACACTTTTTATCAATAAGGATGGAGATAGAGCCATACTGTGGATTTATAGGTTGGTGTTGAATAATGTTTCTGTACTGGAAAACCACCTCTTTATGAAGCGCTATTAATAATTTCATAAAATCAGATTTAGGAGGGCGAAAGTTATATTTAAGACAAAATTCATCGTACCTTAGTAGTTCACCATTATCTTTCATCAAGTGTACAACAGACCGTATTTTTCTATTCATCCAATCTTCATTAAATAGTGACCTATTTTGGTGTAATGTATATCTATTGTTCCAAATTAAAGAAGAGTGAGGGGAATAATTATTTACATACAACAGCTTCCAATACGTTAGTACTTGTTTGTGGAACTCTGATACAGTAAAAATTTTAGACCACCCATTTTGTTAAATATATGATTTGGGATAGAATTCCAGAAAGCGTTTGGGTTCTTGAGCCAAGATTTTAGCCAATTGATTTTGAGTTTTCCATTAAGGCAATTAAAATCTGTTGCTTTTAAGCCTCCGTCTTTAATTTCTTTGACCATTTGATCCTTCTTGATATAGTGTGGCTTGTTCCTCCAAATGAAGTTGAAATTGATGGTATTAATTTTTTTAATTACCGTAAATCCTCTAATACAGGCCGGTATTCAATTAAAGGCCGGGTCTCCAATTTTGGCCGGTGCCGGAGTCGGCGGAGGTGAATAATGGCCGGTCTCTTATTGTGGCCGGGTGGAATGTGGTAACAAGCAAGTACGGGGGGCGGTTGTGTCATCGTCTCACTTTTGATTTGCCAGTGATAGACCGCGAGGGTAACTTTAACCGTGCGGAGACGAAGAGGAGGCGAAAATTTGATATCAAGTTCAAAGAGAACGTGCTGATTATGCTGCAGAACACTCTGGGGAGCAGTAGCAGGGTTGTATGAACTAGTCGACTTCACCATGACATTTTATGCCTGTCATCGACTAGTCGCTGTCACGTGATAATGACCGGCAAGATGCAGTCCTCGGAAAAGACAGCAGCCTGTCAGCAGGTGACAAGCTCCTGCGCTCGGGGGGGGCAACGCGCTGTGCCAGAGCGTTGGTACTGACACGCGATCGTTCATGTCGGTTCATTTCCTTTAATGTTTTCTGTCTTTTATTTGCGCTTGATGTGTTTCGCTGCTGTGGAGCGGGGCGCATCACCTTGTCATCCGGTGACGCACCGATTAGGGCTGTCGCGGTAACCGCAAAAATGAAATATCGCAATATGAAGAAGCCCACCGCGCTGCATCATGCGCCACCGCGATTACTGAACTTGGTTCAACTCAATGATGCATGTTGAGAAGGATGGCTGCACTGGTATCAAAACGAAAAGTTACTTCGCTCCTTTGGGAGCACTTTGGTTTTCAGTACGTCAGCTGCTGCGCAGCCAGAGTCCTTGGCCGAGACAGAGCTGCCACCAGCGGCAAAAAAAAAAAAATAAACGCTCGGAGACCTGCTGAAGTCCCGGACAAGCACTGCTCCTGCAACCGTCCCGAAGAGAGTTTGAGCCGAGCTGGAGCTCACTCGCTACCTGCAGGAGGAACGCATCCACCCTAAAGAACCCCCCTGACATGGTGGAACAACAACCGGGAGAGATTCCCTTTGCTCGCCAGAGTCGCACGCAAGTACGTGTGCGTTAGTGCAACAAGCGCACCATCCGAGAGGGTTTTCAGTGTTGCTGCAAATGTTGCCTCCCCTCTCAGATTCTCTCTCAAACCGTATATGGTTAACATGCTGGTTTTCCTTGTGGGTAACACGGACGTGACCGAGCTATAAATCACCGTCATTCGTGTGTGTGAAAGTGAAATGATAGTGTGCCCGCCCCCCCCCGCCGCGCGTGCGCCCGGTACATGTAATTTTTTATGCTTGATTTTAAACAACTAAACAAAATGGGGACTTGTTTCTTATTTGTTAGATGCTGCAGCCAAATTTGCATTTAAAAGTTTAACCTTCTCCTGAATTTTGTTGTTTTTAAGTTCAGTCGGACGCCGACTGTCGGACAAACAAACGTTACTGCGATCTGTGTTGTTACTGCCCTTTGATCTGCATTCAGTAAAGTGTTATAAAAGAAGGCACGGCAATTTTTAACCTTTTTTAAATGTGTAAACATTATGTTTAGATAGTACTGCAATAAAAAAAGGACTGCAATATTAAGCCACCCTGAATCACCGCAGGAGGAAATCCTCAACCGCGACAGCCTAAGCACCGATCACTGATACGGCCGCCAAGCAGCGTGCACTCCGCTGTTTTTGCGGTCGGTAGATCTTTTAGAACTGCAGTTCAAAGGTAACTCATGAGGTGAATATATATGAACCCAGGTAGCAGTTTCTCTTTAGGATTGAGAGGAGATGCAGGAAGATAATAAACAGGCAGGACAGAAAAATAGTCAAATAAAAACAAGTTAGTTTTTGTACCTGCTGGTTGCAACAAACAGACATCATTGAAGGTAATCAGAAGTGAGGAACAGAAAATGAAATAATTATTTTAATGTTTAGAGCAGCAGGAACTCCGAGAGGCTGCAGGCGCATCAGTGAGTTTGCGGCCGCTGCGCAGGGGGAGGGGGGAGAGGGCTGAAGCAGGGGGAGGGGGGAGAGGGCTGAAGCAGAAACTACCGTTGTTAAAAGAAATGTGTTTAACTTTGAAAATGTGGGCGCAATTTTAATTGTCAAAAACTCCAGCGAACCATTAGTTCATTTTGCTCAAATAGAAATAGAGGCCTGCCTCTAATACTGGCCCTCCTTCCAATAAAGGCCTGGAGCTTGATGAGCTTGAGTCAAATACAGGCCCAGGCCTGTATTAGAGGATTTACGGTATGTTGTTTGAGATTGCAGTACTGCAGATTGGATAAACTAATCTAGATATACTCTCCATTTTGGTTAAATAAATGTGCCCTAATATGGAGGGATCCCTCTGAAGCCAAATATTTAGTTTGGATTTAATTTCATTAAGTTTATTAGTTATGTATGTCCTTAGGTCAAATTGTTGGCCTTTGGAAATACAGTGGGGCAAAAAAGTATTTAGTCAGCCACCGATTGTGCAAGTTCTCCCACTTAAAATGATGACAGAGGTCAGTAATTTTCATCATAGGTACACTTCAACTGTGAGAGACAGAATGTGAAAAAAATCCATGAATTCACATGGCAGGATTTTTAAAGAATTTATTTGTAAATCAGGGTGGAAAATAAGTATTTGGTCAATAAAAAAAATTCAACTCAATACTTTGTAACATAACCTTTGTTGGCAATAACAGAGGTCAAACGATTACTAT